CTGAAATATGGGTATAGTATGATGTTATTTATACTTTTGATATTTCTCTAATATTGTTAATAAACCAATGTCGTCTTGAAAGCGGTAAAATACCTACTCTTTTTTAGAAGCAAAATAGTAGTAGTGACGATTTTTCAATTGTTCTAATACTTGTTTAATCTACTCTCAATTTTTTTTTTATTTTTTTTAATGAGTTCAACCTATATGCAACTTTCGTTAAGACAACAGACAACATCAACAACAAAACAACATCTTCAGTGGTAATACTGCTACATTGTTGTAAATCTGTCGGGAAAAAGTTGGTCGATCGGTCAATCAACAGTTTGGGGTCAGTCGTCGCGTGGTACGCATAATGGGCGGCGGTGATTAACTCAATGCAACTAAACCATGTTTTATGTGAATTGGAAAAGACCAGTGACCGTGGCCACCATCAACAAACAGCCTCCCTCATCTCCTTGTCGTCTATCAACAATGCTGCCTTCATCAAGATTATTTCAAAATTTCAAAAATATGAATTTTTGAAGTTTGTCCTTGTTTTTATTTTAGAAAGCAACAGCCTTTGTTCTTTGTACTGTAATCAGCAACTACTAAAGCAGCATCTTCAAAGGCCATCATTTTGTTATGTAGAAATTTGCACCACTAAACATCTGCTACTATTCCATCCACCTAGCCACCACAAACCAACTATGTTCAGCAAAAATTTAATGAATTTTCCTCGTGATGATACATCGTCGTACCTCAGAAGCGTGCCATCATTGAATTAGTCTCCATAACTCTTAGAGTACCTACCGATACCAACAACAATCATCATTTAATCAATCAGATCAACCAACCAACACCACCTATCAGTCAACAGTCGTTTCTCAATCAGCAACAAGCCCAAAACTCTTGCAATAATCGGCATCATTGTTAGACCAAAAAAATAAAAAAGACAACTTCTCACTGCCACAACTTTTCCAAATTTCAACAACCAACCATTTTTACAAGTAAACAACCAACCAACAAATCAACCTCCTCAGCCATACAAAAATCGTAATCAGCAACAAAAATAATCAGCCCAACAATAAGTGCAACATATTGTGGTTTGTTTTTAATTTTTTTAATAGTAAACATCTGATGAAAAGTGGACGTTTATATTTTTTGTTAGAAAATTTATGTTTGTGTTTTTGTATTTATTATTTAAAAAGTAATTTATTTTTGCTTCATTACAAATTACACATTGCAACTAGTTTGGCTCAGCAAATAGAGCAACCTTTGAGAAATGCAATTTCAACTTCTTGAAAAATAATGAAAGCCTATGGCTTAATGGAAAACTGTTGCGCTGTGTAATTTATGGCAAAGGTGTAGAAATGTAATTATTTTTCAGTTTTATCAAGTAGCACCATTGTGTTATAGCAATTATTTATTCAAATTTCTTCCTGTCTCTTTTTGTCATTCTAATTTATTTTCTAGATCTCGTTCGCCCAGAAGGACACGCAGCCGCTCCCGCAGTTTTTCACGTGACAGACGCAGCAGATCGGATTCTCGTGACCGCCATTAAAGTTTAGCAATTGTATATTGTGTTTTTTGAACAGAGAAATCACACATTTTGTTTTATTTAAAAAAACAAAACAACAATTTTAAGGAAAATCAATCCCTCATCCCCATTATCTATCTCTCCCACCAAAAAACTGAGCAAAACAATTTGTTTGGCGCTTCCTCCCAATATATTCTTTATGTTTATGAACATATGCATACATATATTGAAATGCTTATTTTCACCTTGGAAAATAACCTTTTAATTGTATAAGAGAAGGTGTCGATATGATTTTGTACATGAATTATGTACAAGTACACAAGGATACTTTTTACTTTTTATTATCCCAAGACTATCTGTTCCCAAACCCCCTTATTATTTTTCAATTTGGAATAATTGTGTCTATTCCTAAGGCGGCTATAGTGCATCTTGCTGCGTAGATGTATTGAAGATAACTCAACCAAACATCATTGCGTATCTGTTATTCCAACCTTACAACCAACTACAACTACATATATCACAAAATGTATATCTGAGGTAAATTCTTTTTTGAATTTCATTTCTATATTTTTTTTTGCAAATAATATTTAGTATATGCAAAGATAAACAGGCAGTTGAAAATATATTTTTTCTTAATCTTAGCGTATAAATATGATTTATTAATTACAATTTTAAGAAACAAATAAATAAAAGTTAAAATTAAAAATAGTAATTACTTTTGTGATGTTTTTTTCTTTCGTAACTTTGATTGTGGTAAGTAATTGCAGAAACAGGAATGAAATCTCTATTTGTGCTTAAATATATTTTTAAACCCTCTACCACACATAGTATAGAGGGTATATTAAGTTCGTCATTCCGTTTGTAACTCATCGAAATAATAATTTTAGACCCAACAAAGTGTATATATTCTTGTTAAGCGTAAAAGACGATTTAGCCCTGTCCTCCCGTCTGTTGTAAACACGCTACAGTCAAAACGAATTAAGATGGGAAGCTAAAATTCGTCACCGATCTGTCTTTTGCCTGCAGGCAGGTCAAGTTCGAAGATGGGCTATATCGGTTCACGATATCGTATAGCTTCCATATAACGGTACCGACGATTTTCGGTATTTTGATGATTTTTGCCACATTTTTCAATGGAATTGTCTGAAATTCTACACAAGGATTTCTTTGTGACTACTTTACCCCCTAAAAGGTTATATAGGTCCACGATATCATATAGCCCCCATATAACAGTACCCCCGATATTCGGTATTTTGATGATTTTAGACACATTTTTCATTGGAATTGTCTGAAATTCCACACAAGGAGTTCCTTTACCCCCTAAAAGAATTGTTTATATAGGTCCACGATATCGTATATCCCCCATATAACGGTACCTTCCGATATTCAGTATTTTAAAGATTTTAACAGAATTTTTAATGGAAATAATTTTTTCGAAAATTTCCTTATTCGTTCCAAATGGTGGAGAGTTTTCAAAGTTCGGCCCCACCGAACCTACTGCTTTTTACTAGTTTTCCAATTGCTTCTTCTTTTATTATGGGTATTTGGCAATAAGTAAGTAGTAACAAAAATTGCATTTAAAGCAAAGAAAAAAAAAATCATGACATTGTTTACTTTATTAATGAAACAAAATATAGAGATAATTAAATTATAGGTAGATTAAAAACTATAAAAAACAATTTGCTCACTGAGATCCTCCACCGGGAATAATTGGTACTTCATCATTGTTTATGTTCATCTCTTCGCCAGGTGAATATAAACCACCAAGCGCTGATCGTTCCGGCATACCAATAGCACGATCATTGGTGTCATCATCCTCGTTAGTATCCTCAGAATCGTCGCTATCATCATTTGCTGCAAACAAAACAAATTTTATAAAAACTGGAGGAATTTTTTACTTCAGGTTTTGTACCGTCTTCGTCATCAGTTTCAAGACCTGGCATCGTTAGCACTTTCCCCAAAGGATGTACGTTAACTGCAGCATTTTTTATAGCATCTAACTGAAATGAAATTGATAAGAATATTTTAAACATTCAGCATTCTAAATTGGTTTGTGTTTTTGATTGGGGTTTCGCGAAGCTCGCTAACCCAGAAACTCTAAAAAAACTTTCTTTTAAATTACAACACGAATGGAAAACCCTCATAGAGTTAGTTAGACCCAAATAGCGGACGACATGAGCTTAAAATACCTTTCCCAGCTGAACTTTAAGTTCCTCTTGGTATATACTGTTCTTAGGGCTGACTGTGTTTAGGATGGTTAGTATTTTCTACGTGGAATGACAATTTTTACATCCTATATTTATTTCAGCCTGATTATTAGAGGTCTTCCGAGTAAGGCCGCGAGCCAATCTGAAGCAACCCACAAAAGACCATCTCAAGTCCAGAACTGCAGATTAGTTAACAATATTACAGCCCATTGCTAAATTAGATGTGTAACCTTCAATCATAACAGTTAGGATAACAGAAGTCCTGATAATAACCTTTGTAAGGATGAAACTGGATGAGAATACATTTTCTGTCTGACATTATTTAACCCCTTTCTTTGTTTAGCATATCTCCCACTTTTCTATCTTAAAGGCTTTCCTGGGTTCCCAGGAATACCGCAATATATCTATGGTCTCCAAGTGAAGTGGCTGCCGTTTCGGCTTGGTACCCTTCAACCAAGCCAATCGCCATGTTTCATTTCTATATTAACATGGAATGAAAAATTTTCAAGGTTGTAAACTGATACCAGAATGAGTGAAGAAATCATTTTACAATAAATAGTATACCTGTGCTATACATATTTTCCTCTAGATATCCCTAGAGAAATGTTTTTTTCCCACTTTTGTATTTTGCCACATTTGCTTTAGATGGGTTCATATTTTTCGAATTATATATTTTCCTACACCGAGTTTGACTAGACATGGACCAATTTACTTTCATTAACCATTCATTGGTTGAACCATCATTTAAATTGCAGGAAAATCTTACCCAGCTATGATGTTCCCTTTCATATTTCAAAACTTCTGCCTCTTCATTTGCGGCACTGTCGAACCATATTCGATTGGCAATTGGTGGTCGAAGAGAAGGGAAAAATGGTAGCATTGACATGATGTTAAATGTATTATTAAATATAATTTAACTTTAAAAACGAAATTATTTTCCGGAGACAAGGTAAACAATTTTTGGCTAATAGTGTTGGTAAGAGAGAAGTTGCTTCTACGTAGATAAGCCGCTTAACAACACTGGATATTTATCGAAAATCTAATCAATTAGTGATATATAAATGATTTAATAATGGAGCTTTTTAAGTTTTCATTAATTTGTTAAATTGGATTTTGGAATAAAGTTTTAGTGGTTTATACATATTTAAATATATTTTAAATGGATGCGTGGCATACTGTAACTTTTTCATTCTGATTTGAGCGTAACATTTTGCAACAATTGGTCACTTCTACATATCGAGTATTTGGTCATCGCATAATCGATAAACAAAAATCGATACTATAATTCATAATAAACACAACATTGTGCTTGTGGAACATTTCTTCAGGATCAGGAATTTCTAGAAAATTATTTGCAATTGCAAACTACCGAGGAAGCTGAGATTATAATTCTAAAATGATTGAAATTACTTGCAATGATCGTTTGGGCAAGAAGGTTGGTATATTCCTCAAATATTTTGTTCATTTTAAAAACTGCAATGTGTTACATTTATAGGTTCGTGTGAAATGTAATCCAGACGACACAATTGGTGACCTCAAGAAGTTGATAGCTGCCCAAACCGGCACAAAATATGATAAAATTGTTTTGAAGAAATGGTACACAATTTACAAGGACAGCATAAAGCTATCAGATTGTAAGTGCCGTAGTATATTTTGAATAATACTTATGCTATATAATATTTTTTATGTGTATTAGACACTCTGAACCCATAGTTCAAATGGAACAGGTCATCCTACCAAATCAATATATGTGTTATTTTTAAGCCCCAGTGGTCCCGATAAAATGGAACAATTTGTTTCAAATGGAAGTCACATTTCCGATTTTCGGTTCACAACGGTTGGTGGTCAGTCTTTGGCCGGGAATTTCAGGATTTGGCCTAAGGGCAAACCCCAAAAGCGGTAGGATGACAAAATTTGCTCTGCTCATATTGATTCATATTCAGAGAGAAAATCCTACCTGTGGCTATTTGAGCATAGTCCCTATACTCATCTTGAACCGTTGTTCGAACGTCATATGACTACAGAGGGTATAGAGAGTATATATCATTTGATATGTCATGGAAGTAACGGTTTTGATCTCTCCTAGATCGGTTTGGACGAAATCTGGCACATCGTAATATTATTATATATTATGTCCCCACAAAAGGTCAACATTCTCAAAGAAAATAATCTATCCTGTTGAAAGAGAATGGATCATACTAATTTGTTACAAATTTTGTAAATTCTAACATTTGTAACTGTACTAGGTAAAGTGTGAAAATGGACAATATCAGTCCACTTCATTCAGTAGTCAAATTTTGAATAATCATTACTCTTATAAATTGTAAAAATCTTAATATGTTGCACATCCCAACATCTAATATGAAGAACAAATATAACGGATTACTTCCTCTGGTACCTCCCTTACAACAGTTACAAATCTTGAATAACCATAACGCTCATAAAATGTGAAATGAACATCCGATTCTTTTAAAACTTGTCACGTCCTAATATGTTGACTTGCAGATGATCTAATGTGGAGATGGAATATATCGCTCCACTCTTTCTGATAGTTTTCATACAGAATGTAAACATCTTGAATAATTATAACTCTCGTAGCATGTGAACCAACCAGAGATCTAATTTGACCTTTTTTTTTGTCAAATTATGTCAAAATTATTAATAAATACTAATTGTTTAACTTAAACATTCCTTCAAAAACTGAGCTAATTTAGGACTATAATATGTCGTCTCTCTATTACCTCTTTTGTTAAATTCAATTACATATTTTTGTATTTTCAGACGAAATTCATGACGGAATGAACCTGGAACTTTACTATCAGTAGATAATACAACTTAGTTTAATTTTTGCCAACAGCTAAAATTTTATACATTTGCTAATTTATTTTAAATATGAATGAAAAAACAATTAACAATAAACATTTGATATATTTGTGTTTGTTTTTTTTTTTTGGAAAACGATGAATGGGTTATGATAATGGTTTCAAGAAATGAGTCCACAAGAGAAAAATCTTGCACTTTTTTCGAGGAAAAGGTGACTTCAACTATAATTTTTTATTCTTACTATTATTAAAAGACTATAGTATTAGAAATAATTTAATCAATAGACTACCCTGTTATCGACTTATTAACTCGCAAGTTGCCATAATATGCGTAAATGAACATATACGCTTTACATTTCTTAAAAGTTTGCTTGTACAGTACATTATGTTCGACAAACGACTATCGACAATAAATATAATGGGAATAGTAGCTTCATTACAATCCACAAAATCCGTAAAGCTTTATAAAGCACCGGGGCGAAGCTTTATGGTGCGTTATAAATACCAATACTTATACAAATATATTATGTGTACAAATTTGAGATCTAACAAAAAGATGGAACTGGTTTTAAGTTGTGGGTCCGGAAATACTGGCCAAAGAACTTTGTATCTCTATTCTAACAAGAGTATAATTTCGCTATTGTAAGGCGAGTTTCATCTCGGTGTTCCAACAGGAGCTTCCTTTTTGCTGTTCTAATATAATCATTGTCTCGCTGTTCCAAACCATGAACCGTAGTGGCAATAAACGAATGTATTCCTTAAATTTTGTTTATCAAACATTCATGTGAACACAATTGATACTATGGCATATCTTCACTTCTTCGTACACCTATAAATATGTATGTGCACCGTTTAGATTGCAATTGCTCAATTTACCACAACAAAAATCACTCAAGTATTCATTCACCCACCAATTGAACATGCAGTACAATCGGAATCAATTTACGATGAACAAGTAAGAAAGCGTTAAGTTTGGCCGGACCGAACTCTTAATACCCTCTACCATGAGGTACGGAAAACCTTTAAAAATAAAAGTAGCTGCATTTAATATTCAAATGAATTTTATTTTAAACTACAAATTCTAGTATCTGTTGGAAAATACATAAAATGAGGTGTTCAGAAATAGAGGGGTTATACGAAAACGTTAATATACAGGGTGAGATAAAAAACTGCAACCAACTTCAGACTGCTGCCATTTCTAAGCCACTCGTCCGATAGCTATTAAAATTATTCCAGTGACAGCTCATAATATTGTTTACAAGCGTACAAAAGCATTTTTCTTTATATTTGGCTGGAAAAGCACAAGTGGCTATCGTTAAGCTGCAAGTACATAAAAAGCTTGAAGTCATGGCTAGGCATATTTTGTAACATTTCATAAAGGGAGTACAGAGCCGCACTAAAATCCTGCCGTCATTATCCATTATAACTTGACATTAATATGCCTAGCCTTGACTTCAAGCCTTTTATGTACTTGCACCCTTATGCCCTGTTTACGTTAGAACTTTTTGTAGGGTTAACCTACTTTGAGAGGATTTATTTGAAGTAAAAGTAATGGGTATGACAATTTAAATCCAAATCCAGTGGGTTAACCCTCATATATATAAACGTACTATTAGAGCACAAAAGAAGCGACTTGATCGAAACCCCTGTCGCAGTGACCGAAAAATGGCTCGTGAGCTAAACATATCGCAATATTCCATTCGGCAAATATTGAAAAATGAGCTCGGGGTAAAGCCATTGAAAGTCCAAAAGTACAGGAACTTACACCGCAACAGGAATAAAATAGACTCAAAAGAGTTAAAGAGTTGCTTCACTTGGCCGAAAGTGGTGAACTGCCGAATTTGGTTTTCTCCGATGAGAAAACATTCGTTGTCCAGCCGTTTGTAAACAAACAAAATGATCGTGTTTACTTGCTAAAGAGGTCAGTTGAAAATGTGCAAATTTCGTAATGAAGCATAAATTTCTAAGTCGATTTAGCGAAGCCCATCTGCCTGTCTGTTGTAATCACACTATCTTTCGAACGAATAAAGATAGAAGTCTAACATTTTGCACACATGTGTGTGTTTTGAAAGTAGGCACGTTTTGTTCTTAAATGGGTTATGTCGGTCCACGTTTTCGTATAGCCCTCATCTAACGGTACCTCTCAATATTCGGTATTTTGATGATTTTTACTACATTATTTGCCGCAATTATTTCAAACTTCGTATTCAACGTTCGTAATTGGTACTGCAACCTATAAATTGCGTATGCAGGTTCACGTCTTCGTATAGCCCACATAGAACGATAGCTCCGGTATCGTTTATTTTGATGGTATCGTTTTTTTAGACGATTTTAGCGAAATTATTTTCGGGAATTGTTTCAAAATTCGTATTTGAAGTTCGTAATGGATAATGCAACCCATGACAGAAAATTGTCTGTACAAGTCCAGGTCTTTGTATAATCCCCACATAAAAGTACCTCCCTTTATTCGGTGTTTTGATGATATAAGCGACATTATTCACCAGAATTGTTTCAAATTTCGTATTTGAAGTTCGGAATCGGTACTACAGCCAATGACAAAAAATTACTTATGAAGGAGCTCGTCTTCGTATAGCCCCTAGGTAATGGTTTTCATTTAGCTGGCGTTTTTCGATGATATTTTTTCAAGTTCGTTCAAAATGGTTCAGGGCATTAAAAGTTCGACCCGACCTAACTTTTGCTTTCACTTGTCCTTTTTTACTTGTTGATTTTTTGTAGGTTAGGACTTTGGTGACGATAGACCCTACTAATGTGAGCTACAAACGGAATAACGAAGTTAAAATACCATCCATAGTATGGCGAAGAGTATAAAAAATAACTACCTTGATACGTCCAGCAAAAGGAGCTAAAAGAAAATACCTGAGAATACACAAGTGAGCGGAAGAGAATAAATGCGACGATGACGTCTGGAGGATTTTGGAAAAGTTATGGTTTTATTTTTAAATCGATTGCATATTCTTTAATTTTATCATTTGTTTTTAGAATATATAAATCAAAGTCCATTTGGAGGTATTATTTGTACAATTCTTAACAAATAAATCCAATATTCACTGATGCCTCGCATTTGTAAATTGGGATTCCACAAGTAGATATGTATATGTATATCGATGGCGTTTTTTCTATCTACGTTCTGAAGAAGTTCCCACGAATAAACATCATTCAGTTTTTCCAATACACGTAGCAACATGCATAATATTGTAGGCTTGTTGTATAAACATGCAATCCTGAATCCTGAAAAGCATTCTAGAGTAATAAAGACATACATACATGCTCGTATGTAGAAATGAATGCAAACATTTTAACAAATGTTTGATTAATTTTTTGCTGCTTTAATCGTATGTAAAGCAAGAAGTAATCGTCTTGTGAAAGAAAACATTACATCTGTATATATAATATTCAAATGTCGTTCGTTCGATTTTAATTATACCCTCCACCATTCCTGGTATGGAGGGTATATTAAGTTCGTCATTCCGTTTGAAACTTTAGACCTAACAAAGTATATATTCTTGAAACTCAAAGAGCTTCGAAATATTGAAAAATAAATAAAAAAAAAAACCAAAAAGTTTGACCTCAAGCTCAAATAATTGTTTTTATTAACAATCCAAAAGGTCGAAAAACCAGAGAAAATATTTATAACCAGAGAAAATATTCTTGATCAGTGTAAAATTCTGAGCCCTGCCCGTCCGTCCGTTATAATCACGCTAGTGTCGAAACGAATTAAGATAGGAAGCTAAAATTTTGCACATGTCAGTCTTTTGTCTGCAGGCAGGTCAAGTTCGAAGATGATATATAACGCTACCTCCCGACACTCGGAATTTTCATGATTTTACCCACTTTTTGTCTGAAATTCTCCATAAGGATTTTTTTGTGAGTACTTTATCCCCTGAAAAAAATACGATATCGTATAGCCTCCATACAATGGTGCCCCCGATATTCGGTATTTTGATGATTTTAGCCACACTTTTTAATGGAATTGTCAGAAATTCTACACAAGAAGTACTCTGTGAGTACTTTACCCCTTGAAAGAGAATTGTCTACATAGGTCCACGATATCGTATAGCCCCCATACAATGGTGCCCCGATATTCGGTATTTTGATGATTTTTGTCATATTTTTCAATGGAATGGTTTGAAAATACACACAAGGAATTCCCTCTGAGTACTTTACCCCCTGGAAGAGAATGGTATATGTAGGTCTACGTTTTAGTATAGCACCCATATAACGCTACCCCGAGATATTAGGTATTTCCAGGATTGTCGCTACATTATTTACCGCAATCATTCACGGGAATTGCGTCAAATTTTATATTAAAAGTTCGGAATCGTAACTACAGCCTATCACAAAAAATTACTTATCCAGCACCCCGTCTTCGTATAGCCCCCATATAAAGTTTTCATTTCAGCGGTATTTTTCGACGGATTTTTTTTGAAATTGTTTATGTTCCTTCCGAATGGTGAAGGTTATAAAAAGTTCGGGCCGACCGAACTTAACTGCTTCTTTACTTGTTAATAATATAAATTCGATATAAGTCAAGCTAAAATTTGAAAGTTTGCATCTGTGTTAAAGTTGGTGTGCGAGGGTGTAATGAGTTAAAATTTTTGGAAATTCGCATTAAATAAAAATTTTACACATATCTTGTGAAAACTCTAAACTTTAACCTTGATTCCCAATTGATACTAAAATTTTATGTCTTCTATATTCAATTTGTTTGACATGTGATTTCCCAAACATCTTTACTTTATATTCAATTTGTAAATCCATTTGTTACTTTGATCTAATCAATTTTCTCCTACGTTTTTTTAGAACCGAACATACATACGATTTGGCAGTAAATATATTCAATTCATTTCAAAAATTTCCTTTTCCCAGTAAAACAAAAAAAAAAAAAAAAAAAAAAAAAAACAGTATAAAAGTATGTTGTTTTTATAAACCACCAACTCATTCTGAAAATAACACAATATGTCAATAAATTGAAATACTCATATGTATGTGTGTGTGTGTTCAACTATGCATAAACGAAACAACTTTTAATAAATTTCTTTATTGGCAAAAAAAAAAAAATGTTATTATCGGTTATATGAAATAAAACTAC